TTTGATATTTTACAAACAAGTGTAAAGGTTTAGAGTACAATCTAAAAGTAGTGGAGTTTGAACAGTCGCTTGATTTTGATATCCCATTTAAATAACAAAAGGCCTAGTGGTGGCCTCCAAAGGGGTACTAGCTATGATAACTTCATATTTGGGTCAACTTATGCAACAAACATACATTGTGCCCCAAACTGTTCAGATCAGCCTTGCATGATTTTCAGACTTTATTTGGTAATATTAATTGGCTCCATCTAGATTTTGGGCTAATTTCTCTGATGTTATTGACTGTCATCCTTCAGATAAGTTAAATTAATTTGCTTGTTTTCACAGATAAGTCATATCAAGTAAGGGAGGCTATGTGACAGCTTCTTCTTCCAAAATATAAAATACAGATTTTTCACTATATGGTCAAAATTCTATTACAACAGCAAAAATGGGAATCAATCCCTCCTACTTCACTTGTCAATATACACTATTAAATTTTTAAAATTCTACAAAAGATGGAAATACAGGGCTGGTGAGATGGCTCAGTGGTCTAGAGCACCTACTTAGAACAAGCTTAGCAAAGCACAGGGACCGCAGTTCAATCCTCCAGCACCACATGCCAGCCAGCCCCGCCCCCTGGTGGGCTGAGCTTGCCACACACACATACACACACACAAATAAATAAATAAATAAATTTTTTTAAAAAGATAGAAATATAGCAGCAGAAAGACAATTCCATCAGGTAAGAGAAAAAAGTCTGTGCTTCTTTTTCCTGTTTTTTTTTTCTATAATTTACAAAATTTTCTTCATATTTATTTTCTCACATTAATATCAAGGACAGTATTTAGGCTGAACCATGAGGATTCTTAGTTTGAGCCATCTGTCTCCGTTACTGAAAAGAGTACAGTAGAATCTTGGTTCATGATGCTTTTGTTTGTAGGAAATTTGGTTCACAAACAGAAGTATCAGCAAAATTTTCTTTTTTGTTTGTGAACTCTGCACTGGGTAACTAACATGACTGCAGGCGTCTTTTCCAACACCAACATGGCCATGAATGTGGCTATTTTTTCCAGAATTGTGGAATTAATTAAATTTATGAACTGAAGTACCATTGTAGTGCATATGGAACGAACTAATATTTGTTCACATTTTACATCTGTGAAATTGGTAAGAAAGTGTCCAAATGTGCTGCTAAATGGTACTTTGTATGTTGAGAGTCATACCTGGAGAAAAACTGATCTCGGTTGGGTGACCTCGAAATGATACAGGGAACCTCCAAACGATATAAGGTAAAAATGATCTGATCTGAACTGGATGAGTTCATGTTCTCTAAAACTGAAGAATGAATTTTAAGAACAAACAGAGGTTATGAGCAGAATATATTTATTGGGGGAAAGAAAACTCCTGTCCGAGAGAGGGACAAGAAGGGGGGCCTGAGCGGGTTGTCTCCAGGAAGCTGTCTCTTCCAGGGAGTTTTATAGAGTAAAACCATGCAGTGATGCATGTCTAAGATGGTGGAGAACACGGGAACTCACTTAGGTAGCATGAGGTGGGACAAAACTATGGTCAACCAATGAGATTATGAGCACCATTGCTCAGGTAAAATTGATTAAGTTTAGGACCAAATGGGGAAGCAAGTCATCTAGCAAGTGGACATGAATGTAGAACAGGACTTTATCAGGTAGCCATCCAGTAGTAGTCAGATTAATGACTCTTGTGGTTCCCTCAGGGTGATGATCAATCTTGGATGTTAATCTTTAGGGAGGTCAACATTTATTTGATCTTCTTTAGGTCTGGCCCATGGCGGGAGTATCTGTCCCTCCCACAGTTGCAAGATATCATGTCTTCTTTGTTATCTCCTTCGAGGACCTAGACCTGTCTGACTGCCTTTAATATTTCTATCTAATTTGGCTGCCTACAACAAGAGAATTTAAGACTAGTTTTTCTACTTACTAAAAGTTTGCTGCCCTTGAAGTTGAAGAAATATATGCCTCAGCCCAAAGAACAGCCAACAAATATTTATGAAACACTAGTCATATCCAGAGTCCATGCTGCTGCAGGCACAAAGGCAGATATGGCTTTGCCTACCTGGCATTCATAATCTGAGAAGGAATTCAGCTGTAAACAAATAATCAGGGGCACTGGGTGCTATAGGACAAGTATAGAATGCTGAAGGAACATGGAAGTGGGTCCCACAAGCTATGGGGAGGCAGCTGAGCAACTGCCATGCAGATATCTTTTCCAACACAGACCAAGCATATCTGGAAGATAAGTGGGAGTAAAGCAGGTGAAGAGACAGAAGGGAGAAGGTGATGGGTAGCAGGAACAGCAAGCATGAAATGCTGATGGCAAGAAATTATGGGGTTTGTTTGTTTGTTTGTTTGTTTGTTTGTTTTGGTGGAACCGGGGAGTGAACTCAGGCCCTGTGCTTGCCAGGCAAGCACTTATTCTACTGAGCTATCTCCCCAGCCCCATGAAATTATGGCTTTTTGAGTCTGCCTACTTCAGAGTGGAATGCAAGTGTCCCTGTGGGGCAAGATGAGGCTGTGGAGGTGGGCACAGTTCCAATAAGGAAGCATCATTTGTGCCCTTGAATGGATCTCCACCTTTATCTCAGGAAAGAGAAGAGATTTCCATCTTAGAAAGCCACAGTGTCAATGAAGCATTCTGAAGGAGGTTATTGAGGCACAGAAACAGATATAAACTGACAGTCTGCTCCTGTAGTCCAAGAGAGATTTATGTCATCCTAGTCTGGGAATGTGATCTTGTGATAAGGAGTGGATGAAATAGAATAATGGAGAATAAAATTTGCTATGTTAGAGTTGATAGTAAGAAAAGAATGAATGAAATAAAATTCACAGATTGCTAACTTAATCCTAAATTCCATTTACTAAAAATTACTCAAATGTGAGCAGGTAGGGCCAGCAAGATAGCTCAGCAGACTAAGCATCTACTAAGGCAAGTGCGGGGATTGAGGTTTGATCTCCAGCACCACACACCACAGCAGCCCTGCCCCTGAGGTACACTGAGGCAGCAACTGAGTCTGGGCATGGTGGTGCATGCCTGTAATCCCAGTGCTGGGGAGGCTGAAAACAGGAAGATCAGTATGAGTCCAAGAGAGAGAGGGAGAGAGAGAGAGAGAGAGAGAGAGAGAGAGAGAGAGAGAGAGAGAGAGGTAAACAG